GGCACGGAGAGGGCTCCTCCGCCTCCACTCTGCCAGGGCGCGGCGGTCCTGTGCCCGTGTTGCCGTGAAAGACGAGTTCAGTGCTGTCGTGAAATCACACACGTGTCCACGGCGCCTTGTTGTTAAGTCCTTGGCAAGTCAGTTCCTTATGCCTTTCAATCGAGAGCAAATGAAGAAGCAGCTGGAGGGAGCGCTGCTCTCCTGGCCTCCTCGTGCCCTCGGGGGTCTGCAGCGTCCTTTCTGAGACATGGCTCTCGGGTGGCTGCTCAGCGTGAGGCTGCCGTGAGGGGCGAGGCTGCTGTCATGAAGGCAGGGCGGCCGCCATGCCCTGGAGAGCCCGAGGCCTCCCAGGCGGGTGGGAAGGGGGCTCAGAGCCAACGCTGCTTGAAAGAATGCCGTCCTCAAGCTCCCAAACGGGCCAGGCCATTTCCCTGCCCCTGCGTGCGGGAATAATGCACACAGACAGGAGCGTGATCAGATTTGAACTGTCCCTTTAATAATCCATTTGCCAGATCAAATATTAAAAATAGGAGATGGAGAGAAGCGCATCCGCCTCCCCAGTGGCATCAGGCCCACAAATGTGGCTTCATTAAGTTGTCAGCGTGGGTTCGAAGGGGCCGGCTGTAGGCCGTGGCCAAGGTTCCAGATGGCTCCTGGTGACGAGTCGTCACCTTGCCCCTCCCGGTGCTGCGCTCACCGCCACAGTGAGGGACGGTCTCCAGCAGCCGGAGCTGCCCTGACATCCGCCCGCAGGACGCGTGTTTATCATTTGGAGTGAAACCTCCTCTGTTGGTTCGCTGGTGGCTCCGTCTCAGGCAAACATCAGGGAATGAAGGATGATGGGGTCTGACTTTCCCAAGACCTTGCCGAGGCCAAGTTCGCCTCCGTCCCACTGGCATCCTCTGAGGCCGGAGGCAGGTGGAGGCTCTGTCACAGCCCAGGCCCAGGGTCTGCAAGAAGGTGGCTCAGTGGGCACCCAGGCCCCTGCCAGCCCTGGGCTCCGACGACCAAAGGGGCGGCGAGTTCTTGACTCCTTGGCGAGGGCAGCAAGTGGGGAGGGTTGCGCCGTGTGTGTCTCTACTCCATTTGAGGCCACACATGCTTGCTGTCGGCTCCAAGGCTCCGTGCCCAGGAGCAGGAAGGAGAATTGCTGACACTCCGTCGTCAGATGGAACTCTGACTGTTAGTGAGACGCACGGCTGTGACGGAGCTTTCCCAAGTACCTTCGTCAGGGACCCTGGGTGGGTCAACCCTCAAAGTCGCCGAGTCTCACTGAGTTGACTGGTGATGAGTGTCCATGTCACACGTACAGAAACCCGACTTCCAAGGTCACAAAGTCTTTCCTCTCCATGTCAGGTCTGTCCTCCGCCAAAACATTGACTTTGGGCCTGTCCGGCGTGGCTCAGTGGTTGGACGTTGACCCATGAACCAGGCGGTCACGGCTCAATTCCCCGTCAGGGCACATGCCCAGGCTGGGGGCTGCATCCCCAGTAGGGGGCGTGCAGGAGGCAGTCGATCCATGATTCTCATCATGGATGTTTCTATCTCTCTCTCTTCCTCTCTGAAGTCAATAAAAATATTTTTTAAAATCTTTTAAAAGCAGACACCCTGCTTTCCTGCCTGTGTGCGGGTTGACTTGGGGCCCCTCTACTCACTGCTTTCACATGAAGCCGTTTTACAAGTGGGGCTCTTCCTGAGCCACGCGTCCACGTGTCAGATTTCAAAACGAGCTGTGAGCCGGACAACCCACGTCATCAGCTTCAACCTGGGGCTGCAGTGGAACCCGGACTGACGGCTCCCCAGCCGCAGCCTTTGACACCCACAGTCATGCGGTCACGTGCGGAGCGTTCGGAGGACCACTGTGACTGGCTGCAGCTGTGAACTGTGGGACATCATCCCCGAAGCTGCCAGGAGCCAGAGATCCGCGAGGACGTGAGGGGATCCCTCAAGACCCCCCAGGGTGGCCCTTCCCTTTTCAGATGCTTTCAGAAGCGAAAGGGGGGAAGGGTGTTTCAGAGGAGGGAACAGCCTGCTGGGTCCGGAGCCCTGAGGACAGAGACACTAATATACAAGGACCAGCCCTTGGCCGAGAGCTCACCACCCAGTGGAGGAGAGTGGCCCGCGGTGGGAGGGTTAACCACACCTCATGGAACAGCATGAACGAGGGAACAGAGGGTGTGGTGCTCAGGGGTTGGAGAAGGGAGAGTGATGTGGTTTGTGACCAGGAAAGGTGTGGAGGGGGAGGGGCGAGTCTCGCGGGAGATTGTGCCCTGAGCTAAGGGGCTGGGACTCCATCCTGCGCCCAGGGAGGAGGCCCGTTTCAGTGTTGGGATGAGATGGACACGTGACGTCCACGCTCAGAGCCCTGCTTTAGGAAAACATCCCCAACTGGACTGTCTGGCCGGTGACGTTCATTCCTCCCGTGTGCGGGGGCAGGGGATTGAACAGGAGGCCTAGAGGCCGGGAGGCGGTTGTAACAGCCCAGGGCACCGGGGGTGGAGGAGGGGGAGGAGGAGGAGAAGGGGGAGGAGAAGGGGGCAGCCTACGGAGTGAGAGATTCTGCTCGCCTCCCTGAGCACAGACGCCCAGCGGGCCCGGGAGAGGGACACTCCCTCCCTTCGATCCGTCCAATTGCACACGCGCCGCTCGCAGCGGGAGCCTCGCCGAGCAGGGAGGACTCCTGTGTTTGGCTCTGTGTTTTCTGTAGAATGACTTCCACACACAGCCCAGGGCCTGGTGCTGCACGAGGAACCAGAGTCAACTCCAGCGTCTGCCGGGAGTCCTCGAAGGCCATTCTGACAGCAGCGTTCACCTCCTGCGGTGACTTCAGCCTCTACCTGCCAGGCAAGACGCGACTCCACCTTCATCCGTGCACACCCCCACCCCCTATTATCTATACAGAGCTGGAAAGGACCTGCGCCACGTCTAACAAGAGATGGGGGGTGGCCTCTGCCCTCTCCGCTCACCAGTCCTCTGCTTCTTCCCTTCAGAGGCAAATCCAACCAGACCCAAATGCATGGGCGGCGGCCAGCGGGCGGTGTGATGGTCTAGCTTTCCTGTGGTCACTCACCCTCTACCTGCCTGCTCTGAGAGGCTGCAGCTACCAATTCGCTGCTTGCCGTACAGTCATTAGGAGCAGAAAACATTGCCAAGTGGCCTCCAGAGAAAACAATCTAAGGACTTGCGCGCTTTTCTCGTGGCACCAGGACCACGTGGTGGCCGAGCCAGGTGCCTGGACGGACCCGGGCTGCTCAGGGGCCTGGTCACGGGGAGCAGTCACATGCCTGGCAATAAACACTTAAGAGAATGGATCGTGGTTTAACATGTTATTTATTTTGTAAAGACACGCTTCCTTGTGGGTAGAAGAAGGGTCGGGTGAGATCAGTGGTTCCCACGTGTCAGCCGTGGACTGGTTCACTCACCACTGAAAACCAGCAAAGCAGGGGCAGGCCGGGCTTAGGGGGAGACAGTGCAAAACGGATCTGCTATGAAGGACTTTGCTTTATTCCAAGATTACATCCTGCAGGTGAGTGATGACAGGTGGCAACGTACACAGATATCTCTGACTAGCAAGTAAAAGAGTGGACTTTATCCCTGTCCCTAAGCTACGTCAGTCCTCTCCCCCGCCACTCTCCTTCGTCCCCAGGTCTCCAGCGTGGGCCCCGGGCATGGGAGCAGCTTACCTCCCCTGTGCAAACTCTGGAGCTTTTGTGCATTTTTAAACGCTGTTTTTCTGGGGTCCCCCCCCCCGGTACAGTTTGCTATGCATTGAATGTAAAGCAGAGGGGTCTTCGGGTTACACATTCTCTAATTTTCTCTCATTCTCTCCCCCCCACTTCCCGCCAAGGTTCTCTCTTCGGGCCTCCAGAGGAGAGATGCCAGTAGCTGACAAAGCCCAGGGCAGCCATTCATGACAGATAAAGGTGAGTTATTTTTCAGCACACGGGTTTTGGACAAGTGTGCTCTTTCCTTGTGTGTGACCGCAGGCAGGCCCCTTAGCCACTCTGAGCTTTGCTTTCCCTGTTCGGAGTGAGAATAACGAGAATAACTGTGATGCTGACTTGGAGGGCATTGATGAATGAATGTGTGCACAGTGCCTGGTGTGTGGCGGATGCTTAGCGGGTGGTAACCGTGTGCATCCTGGTAAGGGTGCTGGCCGGAAGGGTGTCCCCGCTGAGTGGCGTTTTGGCAAAGAGGAAGGACCTCCGCCTGAGCCTGGGGGCCCCTTTCCTTTTGACTGTCCCCTTAATCAGGGAACCCCCTGTGGTCCGCCTGCAGGCTCTGGCTCTGCTGGCCCAGAGGCGTCCTCTCACTGCCTCTAACCCAGCGGTTCTCAACCTGTGGGTCGCGACCCCTCTGGGGGTCGACTAAGAACATTGGAAAACATATATAATTTCATATTGTTTTTGTGATTAATCACTATGCTTTAATTATGTTCAATTTGTAACAATGAAAATACATCCTGCATAGCAGATATTTACATGACGATTCATAACAGTAGCAAAATTACAGTTATGAAGTAGGAACGAAAATAATTTTATGGTTGGGGATCACCACAACACGAGCAACTGTATTAAAGGGTCGCGGCGTGAGGAAGGTTGAGAACCACTGCCGTCTAACACAGGCAGGAGCTGTCCAGGGTTCTGGCACATGGGCACACCGGGCCCAGCATCCTCTCCCGCCCCAAACACAAGTGAGGAGCTGTCCAGGGTTCTGCCCAGGGCACGCCGGGGCTGGCATCCTCTCAGGCCCCAGCCCACTCGGGAGCTGTCCGGGGTGCTGACACGAGAGGCACTTAGGGATCAGCAGCCTCTCACAGCCCTAGATGGGAGCTGTCCGGGGTGCTGACTGAGCAGCCTTGTGCAACTCACTGGGCCTGGGCCTCTGAGCAGGGCCCTACGGGGAGTGGAGGCTCCCTACCTCCTACCCCACACTCCCCCCCCACCCCCAACCATACATAACCCGAAAGAGGAGACCAGGAAGGCCATTTCCCAAGCAGTATCATGGGACCACCCGGGGAGCAGACAAAAGCAGGAGGCGTTGGAACTGACGGTCTTCAACAATGATGGCTTTCTAAGTACAGAATTGTGCGCCGTCCCTGGCCGAGATGTCCTGTATTTGTTCTATTCATCCATCACTGTAAATTGCCTGCTGCTATTGCCGGAAATTTATTTTGGCGGGTCAGAGATGTTGGGCTCTGTTCAAAAGAATGGAGCAGAATAAGGAATAAGCAGAAACTACTGGTGGACCTGTTAGCCCGCCCCCTCCCCCCCCCCAAAAAAACACACACAAATCTTCAAATACAAACACTGGAGCTGACCCAACAGACGAAAAAGACCCAGCAGACAGAGTGGCTTCTCTTTCTATGTGTGGTTGTCATGGGGTTCCATGTAAGGTCCTGAAGTCCTTCTCGCTTCCTGTGTCTTGGCACTTGGGGATAAGAGGAGGGTGAGAATTTGGCTTCAAGTAGGCTTTCCCTGTGTGTTTCATGGAACTGTAATTCCAGGGTTGAACTCATTAGGACACATGGTGACCTCTGTTCTCCTCTTGGGGGGATCACAGGGATGTCACGCGGCACGCAGGGCGGTCCACACGGCTCCCACCCCGAAGGTTCTGAGCCCGGCTTTGCCCTGCGGTGGTTTTCTTGCGATTCCTCGCTGTGCTCTCATGTTGCGCCAGGACCCACAAGTCATACAGCCGGTCCTGAGCGCAGGGAAGGCTCTGGTGTCTGCTCGTAAAGATAGCTGTTTACTTCTGCTCGTCACAGAGTTTTTGCAAAGTTTACTTCCCCAAGTCGTTTGAATTTGAAACATTATTTTATTTTTTAATACATTTTTATTGACTTCAGACAGGAAGGGAGTGGAAGAGAAAGATAGAAACATCAATGATGAGAGAGAATCATTGATTGGCTGCCTCCTGCATGCCTCCCCCCCGCCCCCCGCCCAGGTTTTAAACATTGGAACTTGGTTGAAAACATTCGAGTGACTCGAACCGTTGGCTTGTGGGCCGCCAGGGTGTCGTGATCGCGTTGAGAATGAAGAGACACTGAAAGGAGTTAATGGGTCTCTTGGCCTCAGAGTCAAGAGTCTCAAATGACCTTTGGGCAATCGCTGTCTCCTGCAGGAAAGGGATCCACGTGTTCAGGGCCTGGCGCTGGCTGCTGCTGCCTGGTGGCGCTCCCGGGGCGACATGTGGGGCCTGGTGGAGCCTGCGTCTCAGGTGGGCAACCCGCCCCTGGTGTCACCCCCCTCTGCAAGCTCATGGCGGCAGGGACATTGCCCCATTCACACCCGGCAGACAGTAGGTGCCCAGTAACTAGTTGCTTATAAGGATGGAGTCCTGCCCGACCCCACTTGGCGCTGGGCACGGCTCTTTCTGGGGCCAGTGCTCGAAGGTGGGTAGGTGGGTTCGTGCCGGAAGTTCAGTCTGAATAAAGGGCAGGAGGCGTGGGGGCTGCCTGAGAAGCAGCCTGGAGGGCGGGAGATCCAGCTGAGCCTGGCACGGGCAGCACCAGGCCCGCCCGTCCCTGCGGAAATGGTGCGGGCTTCCTGTGCAGGTTTCCGGGGTGGCAGTTCCGTGGCATCCCGTGGTGGAGGCGAGGCCCCTGCCTAATGGCCCTTAATGTCATTACCGCCTTTTCCGCGATCCCCGAATTCTCCGCAGGCTTAAACCGACAGTTATTATGCGTCCCATTAGTCCTCTCTCCTCTGGGCTGCACACATTAGTTCTCCTGAGAGCAATGAATCATGGGACAAAGTGCTCATTTGCATGACGTGCCAGCTCCCTCAATCAAACCCTGTTTTTATAACAGTTCATTGCCAGTCTCTTTAACACCTCTCTGTTCTGAATGTGAAATCCCAAGCTCTGAGAATGCTGGTCTGTCTGCCCTACTTTCTCTCTCTTCCCACCAGGCCCGGGGCAGGGAGGGGGCTGGACACGCCCAGTGCCCGCGCCCAGGTGGGGAGGCCGATCAGGACTCACTGGGGAGCTGACAGAAATGGATAATAATGACCCCATTTACATGGAAGAGACTCATTACCGAGCCAGTTACCGACATGTTGGGTTGCTTGGGAGTCTGCCAATGAATTGGATCTCCCATAGCGAGCGGCTTTTCACCAGCTCATAGGAACGCTCAGGCTCATCAATACTCCGGGGAGATGGTCTCTAGCGTGGAAAGACAGCAGAGAGCCCACGATGGTGTGGGTCCGTGTGGGGTTGCCCACGGGTGTGAAAGCCTCACAGACGTCGCCACTGCCTATCTCCCGCGTCCCACAGCCCAGAGGCCTCGGGCTGTAGTCTTGTCCTGGGGACCTGGGCTTTCTCAGGGGACGACTGTGAAGTTCAGGGTGACGAATCATAACAGTGCCCGGCTCATAGTAACTCCTCAGTTATTATCTCAGCACAGCCAGGAAGGGAAATCCTTGATGAAGTAATAAAAATTATTAATTTGCCCGGCTGGTGTGGCTCAGTGGCTGAGCATCGACCTAGGAACCAGGAGGTCAGGGTTTGATTCCCGGTCAGGGTTGCGGGCTCCATCCCCAGTGGGGCGTGCAGGAGGCAGTCAATCCATGATTCTCTCTCATCACTGCTGTTTCTATCTCCCTCTCCCTCCCTCTCTGAAATCAATACAAATATTTTGTAAAAACAAGACAAACCGAACTCTCCAAGCTGCCACCTTGGACTCCACCTGTTTCTTCCTGGAGACAGTGTTTGATGTTCAGCCCCCGCTCACCCTGAGCTGCTGGTATCCTCGCTGAGCGACAGGCATCTCCCGGGGGGGGGGCAGGGTGACCCCTTTGCAGGGCCGTCGGGCGAACGGGGTGTCGGGAACACAGGTGCTCAGTGAGTATTGATCCTTTCAAATCAGGACCATTGGTTTTTTCACTTTGATTGACTCAGCGTCTGACTCAGAAACTTTGAAAAGTCACCACTTACGTAATGACCAGTCTCCGTGGTCGGCTCCGTGCGATTCTGTCGTCTTTCTTCCAAGAACCACATTGTCTTCCTCTCCGCTTCGTTTTGCAGCGGATCTGGAGGATTTCACTGCACAAAGCAGGTGACCATCGATCGGGAGTGAGTTAGGGCCCTTCAGGCAAAAAGCTTCCCAAAACACAATTTAGAAGCTCCCGCCGCCAGACTCCGCGGCCAGCAAGGGCGGCTCAGGACTCCCGCGGTGCGGTGATCAATACTTAATATTAGTGTCCGCAGCACTGATCGCTTCATCTGCTAGCTCTTCGGGAGCGGGGAGGAGGGAAGGGGCGCCCACACTTCCCTGATGTGGGGACCACAGCTACCCACCGGGAGCCAAGTGCCTCCTGCCTGAGGCCTGGGGTGGTGGCCTGGGTGTGCCCCAGTTCTGTCCCTTGCTGGTGGGACACATCAACATGTGTGTGTGAGTGTTGCGTGTGTGTGTGTGTGTGCATGTGTGTGTGTGTATGTGAGGGGGGGGGCTGAGAGAGATGCTCTTTGCTTTGGGAGGTGAACCCCTCTGCTAAGGACTCTTTGTTCCGGAGAAACAGCTCCTTCTGCCCCTGAGGACCTCCCTGGGGTGTGTCTTACACTCGCCCCGCCTTGGAGATTGTTCTTAGGCAAATGCCCATCAAATTAGGGAGCCCTGGTCTCGGGTGCACCCTCCCAGCAGTTGGGGGAAGACATTCGTTGTGGGACCTGCAGGTGCCACGGGGGCTGGCCCCCTGTCTTTGCCAGTAACAGACTCTCGGGGACCCGCTGCAGGCCACGGGCAGGGCGGGCTGGGGGCTCCGGCGCTGACTCCCCCTCCCCCACTCCTGTGCACAGGCAGGGTCAGGAGGAGTCCTGTCTGCACTCCGTTTTGAAGGCCCGGTCAGCACTCGGCCCCTTGCTGCCCCTGCAGCCTGGACTGCAAAAGGGGAAGGTCCCTGTGGTGCCAGGAGGGGCGATTCTGTGGGTTCTGCTGAGAGCAAATCAGGAGGGACCCTGCCCTCCCGGAGCCCGCCCTCTCCTGGGCCTCAGGTGGAGTGACAGGTCAGCACCTGGGACAGCGGCAGGACGGCGCTCAGGCCTGGAGGTTGGGGGCGGGGCTCACAAGGGGACGGTGCCTGAGCTGACCCTGGAGGAGAAGGGTTTGGGGTGGACACGCCGCTGAGCAGTGAGAAAGGGCGGGGCATTGGAGGGAGGAGCTGCTAAATGTTGGCAGGCTGGGGCATTAGGTGCCTGGGATGTGGGTGGGGGTGGAGCAGGGTGGAAGTTAAATAAGAACCCAGTGAGGCCCAGCTGGCATCGCTCAAAGGGTGAGCGTTGACCTACCATTAAGGAGGTCACGATTCAATTCCCGGGTCGTGGGCTCCACCCCCACTAGGAGGCGTGCAGGAGGCAGCTGGTCCATGATTCTCTCTCATCATTGATGTTTCTCTCTCTCCCTCTCCCTGCCTCTCTCAAATCAATAAAAAATATATTAACAAAAAAAGAACCCGGTGGAAAAGGTCCTGTGGGCTGTGCTAAGGATGGCGAGCTTTGTCCTGCAAAGGCCACGCAGGTGATGAGAGAGAACTCAGGGGAAGATGACGTGGACAGGGAGCCTGGAGGAGGGGCCTGCGGGGCTCAGAAGTTCTAGGCAATCATCTAGAAACTCAATGCAGTTCCAATAAAAAAATCCAATACACACTTTTATCTAATTTGTCAAAATCACTTCTACAGTTTGCTGGGAGGAATTAAAGCCAAGGATAATCATAACGATTCTAAACAGGAAGAGAAAAGAGGCGGTACTTCTTCATTGGCTATTAAGACATGTTATGAAGTTAAGCAGCAGTTCTCAACCTGTGGGTCGCAACCATCGGAAAACACATACAGCATATCAGATATTTACATTACGATTCATAACAGCAAAATTACAGTTACGAAGTAGCAACGAAAATAATGTTATGGTTGGGTCACAACATGAGGAACTGTATTAAAGGGTCGCGGCATCAGGAAGGTTGAGAACCGCTGTAACAGTGTGCTATGCACAACCCATGGACACAGACAGTAGTGTGGGGAAGGCCCGGGGAGGGTGTGGGAGTGAGGAGGCGGTTAACGGGGGAAGAAAGGGGCGTCGGTAATACTTACAGCAATAAAGACACGTTTGTAAGAAGCGTGGCATTGCCTCCGAGGTAACGCTATTAGACCAGGGGAGCTGCCACTCCCTCCGTGTTCCCAGCAGCCTTCGCCCCTCAGTGGCAGAGTTGAGTCTCGGTGAGGAGGTCTTCCCAGAAGACCTCAAATATTTACTATTTGGCTCTTTATAGGAAAAGTGTGCCAGTCCCTGGCCTAGAAAGACCCACGCATTTCTGGGAACTTGGTGTGCGATTCAGGAGAAAGGAGGGACTTTCCAATAAATGCCGCTCAGACGCTCGCTCTCCTGTGGGAATGAAATGAAAATGAGATTCTTACGTCACCCCATAAGCAGATTCCCGGTGGATTAAGATGCAAACGTGAGCAGCAGAACTTCATAACCCTACGAAGGTGAGAGGGTTGGTCTTTTTTAAAAAAAATATATGTTTTTATTGATTTTTAGAGAGAGGGTAGGGGAGAGAGGGATAGATACATTGATGAAAGAGAATCATCAATTGGCTCCCTCCTGTACGCCCTTCAGAGATGGAGCCCGCAACCCGGGCCTGTGCCCTGACCAGGAATCGAACCATGACCTCCTGGTTCATGGGGCGAGGCTCAGCCTCTGAGCCACAGGGGGCCGGGTCGTGCTGCGCTCTTTAAATGCACTGTCTGTGGTCGTTCTCTGAGGCGTTCAGGCCCTTCCTAGGTCACGGTCACAGGAACCGAAGCTTAGTGACTCGCCAACCAGCTAGTTAGCTCAAGTTCACAGAAGTAGTACATGGCAGAGCCAAGATTCCAACCCACGCTAATTCTAAACCTCACCCTTTCAAGCATCACGCTTCTCTATGGAAACAGGATTGGAGGGTGGCTGGCATTAAAGACCGCAGTATCTGTCAGTACAAATATCGGCGTCCTGCCATGTGTGGGCTCCTGGAAACAGATCACTTTAAAAAAAAGTTCAAATTCCCATTTGAAATCCCCAGAGGGAGGCCACCAGGGGACTTCTTCTGTTAAGTGAGCACTGTCTTCAGAAACGTTGCTCCGATGCATCAAAGCCGTTCCTTTCTTTAATCCTCACGGGAGCAGTGAGGCGCCAGGCACTGTTCTAATCCCGCCGCTAGCAACTCCTCTCCCAGAGGAGTCAGTGGTCCCAGGAGGTGGGTGGCAGGGCTGGGCCGCCTACTCACCAAACCTCTTTCTGCTCCCTCCCAGGTGCAGCTGGCTCACCTTTGCCGCCCTCACCGTGGTTAGACATGATCACGTGACTAGGTCCCGCCCAGTGTGTGGTGAGTAAAGGGGACAGGTGTCACCGCACACTCTTCCAGCCTCTCCCCTTCTCGGGGACCGTGGGAGCCAGGTGAGGCCCCGAGATTTCACACTTGCTGTGGGTCTTGTCAACCCCGAGAAAGAAGACGCCTACCAGGAAGGTCTCCTCGGGGCTAACTGGGCTCAGATTTAAAAGCGGAACCTGGCAGCCGAGTTAACAGGAAGCCACACAAAGGGGAGGGGCCTCCCCCCAGCGGCCAGCCTCTGCCTGCACCCGGCTCCTGGCCGCTGAGCCAGCCCCTATACAGGAGATCCTGGAGTCCTCTCTGAACCAACAGGACTGAGATGCCCCCCGTCCAGTCAAAGCTGCACAGCAGTATCCTCATGAGCATCTTCATTGGCCAAAGTGGTTCCATTCCAGCCCCTCAGGACAGTGCTTTTGGGACCAATCAAACGGTGAGAATTTAGAGTCCTCATTTGCATGAGGGTGAACCAATCAGGGACTGGGACGGGGACTTCTGTCTATATAAGTCAGGCTCATGGCACACATTCCCTTCCCCATCCTGATGGACATCGCCTCTCACTGCACCCCAAGTGGGGATTCCTGTTGGTGTTGACGGTGCCAGGGATCCACGGGTTGACAGCCTGGACTGAGGACTAATTTGAGGGGAATGAATTGCATTTGTTTCATCCACAACATGGGGCAGCTACCAGCCTGCGGTCTCTCTGAGACTCCCTGCTCCAGGTGTTCTGGGCGATGCTGGGTGCTCGGAACCCGGACGTGAGGCTGCCTGAGCCCCAGCCTGCGGCTCACGCTCTCGGGAGAGAACGTCGTCCTCCGGAGGCTGAGGCCCGTGAGCTTTCCTGCCGCTCCTCTTGTCAGTCTTACTCACACGTGGAGGATGCGATGGCTGATTCTACGTGTCAACTTGGCTGCCATCAGGCATCAGCGTTCCCTCGGGTTCAGGACACAGGCCGGGACTTACACCGCTGGTGCCCCGTGCTCAGGCCTTCAGACTGGCACTGGGTTGCCCCTGGTTTCCCTGCTTGTCCTGGCAGGCCACAGGACTCCGCCATCTCCTTAACCACGTGAGTCAACATCTCTCTCCTATTGGCTCCGTTTCTCCATAGACCCTGACTAATACGGCTGGGTCAGCCTCGGCTGTCCTGGCTTTTTAGGGGGGACTCCTCTCCGATACCCCATTTGGACTTTTTCCTTTTTTGCTGGTGGGTAAACAGTGTTGTATCTTCCAATCGCTGCCGCCTTAGATTCAGTGAATACGGTAGTATCGCCTCTAGTGGGTAGAGGGACAGTGAAAACTGGGCACAGAGGGTCAGGAGCTCACCAGTAAGTGTCCGAGCCGAGATGTGGACCCGCAACCTGACTTCAAAACCTGGGCACCTCACCGCTGCAGCGGCCCTGGGGCTACACGAGGCCACAGATAGAGGGCGGGTGCTGGCTCGGGCTGGGCCCAGCTCTGCTGTCATCAGGAGTTGGAATTTGAGGAAACTGTGAGCTGCAGGACCCTCTTCTGTGCCCCGGACATAATAAGAGGACAGAGGGACAGTGCCACCTGTGTCTCCCCTAGGGGTGCCCGGAGCCTGCAGACCTGCTGCTTGCCTGCTGCCGGCAGCTCCGAGGCCAGAGGACAGGCAGGTGGTGTGGGCAGCCTCAGTGTCGTTCGCAGTCGGCTCCTGCCTGCCCTGCCCAGGCCTCACTCTCTGGGCGTCATTCTTGGTGTCGGGCCCAATGCCTCACACCAGGATGCCCCGTCCGCCTCGGTGAGAGGCTGGTGTGCCCTGCCGTTTCCGAGTCTCTAGTGCAGACCCCTCCGAACGCCAGGGGTCTGTGCAACCTGTGAGCGCTCTGAGTGTGGTTGTTGCCGCATAAAATGCAAGGCACCCAGTGAAATGTGCATTTTCATCAACCACAGCTAATGTTTTGGTATATGCATGCCTCGGGCAATATCCGGGCATACCTAGGCCACAAATTAAATACCTGAGAGTCCAGTTTCCATCTGTGTTTTATGGCTTCATCGGGCCCCCTTCCTATGCCCAGTAAACGGGAAGTGACGCAGAGCTCAGCCCCTCCAGGGGGCTGGCAGTGCCCAGGCTGGCAGAGTCCGGGAGGCCCCTCTGAGCTCATTAGTGTATCTGAACCCATCTTCCCTGCATAATCTCTGACAGCCCTGCACACTCTTGCGTGAAGGGTGCTGGGAGGGGTTCTCTTTGGAATATGCTGGGTCTTCAAGTGAGTAGAAGTTGGTAAGTGGCCCTGTCCGGTGTTGCTCAATGGATAGAGCACCAGCCTGGGGACCTGAGGGTTTTGGGTTCGATTTTGATCAAAGGCACGTACCTTGGTTGCAGGCTCCTCCCCAGCCTGGGCCCTGGTCAGGGCACGTGCAGGAGGCAACCGATCTCTGTGTTTCTCTCTCGATGTTTCTCTCTGTCTTTCCCGGTCTCTTCCACTCTCTAAAAATCAGTGGAAAGATATTCTCGGGTGAGGATGAACAGCAACAACAAAAGAACTTAGGTGAGTGCAGTAAGGCTTCCTGGAGGAGGTGTGATCACCACAGGAGAGGGCACGAGGGGAGACCTGCGAGGCCCCAGCAGAGGAGCCACTGGGAGCAGCCCGGGAGGGCGGAGGGCTGGCTGCGGTGCCCCGAGGGCCACACTGTCTCCTGCAGGCACAGAGGGTGGAAAGCCATGGGTGTAGCTTTACCGAAAGACCAAGAAATCATACCGGGTGGTCACAGGACCCGGCGGGAGCCGAGCCCAGGATGCTGACCCCGCAAACGGCTGGGCCGTGGTCAGCCGCTTCTCAGAATAGCGGCCGCGAGGCCCTCTGCGTCTCAGCGCTCGGACACCAAAACCAGTGCCTCCTCGGATCTCCGGCCGCTCCAATGGCCCGGCCTGCAGGGCGGCTCCCAAGGGCTCATGGTCGCCACCTGCACTTAATTGAGTTTTAAACCGCGAGATCTTTCTTGGAAAAAGGTCCAAACTTTACAGGCCATCTTAAATATTAAAGTCCACTGCACAGCATTAACAGGCTGTAGTAAAATACTCAATAAATCATGATTTGCTTGGGCCGTGGTTATCACATGAATAATACATGGAGACACTTTTATGTGTTTAATGGGATTAAAAGATCTTACGGCATTTTTAGACGTTTCTTCTCTCTCCTCTGGCAGTTCGGTGGCTCTTGTCACCACCAGACGCATGCAGCCATCATCTGAGTCACCAGGCCACCTCCAACTAGAGGGCTGGGTAATTAAAAAGAACAAGAGGAAGCGGATATAATAATTCCGAAGGGCTGCTAATTATGTGCATATTGTCCTATATTAATACTACTGCTAATTCAAAGGACAACTAATGGGAAAAAAATCATCTCGTTGGTCATGCTCTCCTAGCAGCCAAGGGGCGAGGCTGGGGTTCAATCCCAGTTCTCCTTTCGGAGAGGAAGGGAGAGGGAGAGAGAGAGAGAAACATCAATGATGAGAGAGAATCATGGACCAGCTGCCTCCTGCACGCCCCACACGGGGGATCGAGCCCTCAACCTGGGCATGTGCCCTGACCAGGAATCCAACCGTGACCTCCTGGTTCATAGGTCAATGCTTAACCACTGAGCCACACCGGCCGGGCTGCATGGTCTTTTAAGAAGCTGCGTGAGCCAGGCCAAAGGACCCAATTAACACACTCTCAGCTTAATTCTGGGGGTGGGGGGGGGTCAGCATGCCGTGACCCCCATAAATCACCCTGCATTTCTCACTGAAATCTCTTGGTGTCCTCAGAGGACCCAGGGTCCCTGACGTCACAGCTGGGAATACCTGGCAGGTGGGTGGTAGGAGGGCACCTGGCGGGGATGTGCGAAGGTGAGAGTAGTGTCGGGTGACGCACACCGACCCAGAGCCCATTACCGAGGGGGTGACCCGTCCAGGGAGACACTCTCCTTCCCGTGCCACAGGAGGGCCTCCGGGGAGGCTCTGGTGGGCAGCTCTGCTGGGCAGTGTCGCTGATGAAGCGATTCAGGACTCGGGGTCCATGAGCCCCACCCCCAGCGGCCCCCAGGTAGCTCCTGGCGTTCGCTTGCTCATGGGGCTGGAGGTGCTTGCGGCCAGGCTGCCAGCCGCTGACAGTCCTGTCTGTGTCCGCCTGGCCCGGGCAGCCAGGGGGGTTATGACAGATGACATCTCCGCGATCTCAGCAAACACAGTTGATTAAAACGCTGACTCAGAAACGGCGGCGGAGCGGCTAAAAGCCACCACTGTGAGTCTGAGCTCACGTCTGACTGTCTGCCTGCCTCCCGGGGCTAGGGGTGTTTCCGACACGGAGAGCTGTGGAATTCCAGGGCGGGAGGGTCTCGGGAGGCCGCGGGAAGGCGTGGCCGTGGCCGTGGCCTTGCGCATTAGGGTCGCCCTCTTGTCAAGCGTGGGCTCCACGAATGTGACTGTGAGCGCATGTTCCTAGTTTTTCATCCTTAAAAAGTGGTGCTTTTGCCCTGGCTGGTTTGGCTCCGTGGTTAGAGCACCGGCCTGCGCACTGAAAGGTCACAGGGACCTGGGTTCCAGGTTTGAGACCCTCCAGGTCAGGCACACATGGGTAACAGCGTCCCTCAGGTCTGGGGACAGGGCTGCTGGGTCTGGGGAGCAGGAGGCTGCTGTTGACCAAACCCATATGTTCCGGGTTTGAAAGCCCCGAGTGTGGGCGGGGCCCCATTCCCGGGGGCGCTGCCCCTGGCCTCCCAGGGCCTGACTGGAGTGGAGGTGCCCCAGCCCCTGTGGGTCCTGCCTCGGGCTCTGTGCCCGGCCTCCTCTCTGGGGAGTGATCAGCCATCTCCGCCCACCAGCTCCCTGGAGATCTCGGTGGCACCCAGGGAGGGGCGCCCCTTAAAATCTCCCTATTTCGATTCTGGGCTTGGCCTCGGGTCAGGCAGGAGGCTGCCGGGAGCGAGGAAGGCCTGTGGGCTCTGCCCCGTGGAGCAGGCGGGGTCCCTCCCTCCACCCCGCTGGCCGGGAGCAGCCCCGCTGGGGTCCCCTGTGGAGAGGAAGTGAAGGGTGAGCCTGCAGGTTCCCGAGGCTCCGTCACTTTGACCACCTCCCTGCTGCCCGTGATATTTTAATCCACGCTGCGTCCTTTCGACATCAAGAGCTGGCAGTCTTTGGCTGAGAAGATAATGTCTTGATATAATGGCCTTGGACTACGGCTGTGATTCTAAACACGCATTTATTTGCTTTCATCACTCTGGACCAAAGGGGAAGAAAAGGAACCATTAGAAGAAAGGCCCCTCTTACCCCACCCCCCTCGTTCATGCTCTCCAGGGCCGCCGGCTCTCCCTTTTATTTCTCCTCTTGGCTCTGGCAGCCGCTGCGGCTCCATTATCTGCTCCTGCGCTGCCTCGGAGCTTCATATTCCAGCCCCGAGACTTAGAGCAGCCGGAGGGGTGGGCTCAGTGCCTGAGCGTCGACCTAGGAACCAGGGGGTCAAGGTTGGATTCCCGGTCAGGGCACAGGCCGTCATGGTTTGATTCCTGGTCAGGGCACAACCCGGGTTGCAGGCTCGATCCCCAGTGGGGGGGCGTGCAGGAGGTCCAATGATTCTCTCTCATCATTGATGTTTCTCTCCCTCTCCCTTCCTCTCTGAAATCAATACAAATATATATATTAAAAGAAGATAAAGGAGCTCCCCAGTTTCCCATGGGAGCCCCGCGTGGGCGGCGGCACGGTTTGGCTTAGGCTGTTCCTGGTTCTTGAATGAGACTTGGGCCTCTGTCTGGATTCTAGAGACGGGCGTTGTCTGACAGGCTGTGTGGTTCCGGCCTCGTGGGCCTGCTGGGTACGGATGAGGGTGGGCTGAGCGGGTTCCCGGGCACCTGCCCCTCCTCTGCCCAGGACTGAGCTGGCATCCAGCTCCACAGCTGCCCACGCACTCTCCCTGGCGCTCTCGCTCTCTCTCTCTCTCTCTTTCTCTCTCTCTCTCTAATTTACAAAATTCTTCTAAAAAAACACACCTCCCTCTTTCTCTGCTGAGATTTTGCCCAGTGAAGTGTTTTATCATATTCTCCTTGAAAAGGAAAGAGGTTGCAGGT